CTTCCAGCTCCTCCGGGGGAACTCCAAGGCGTTCCCAGGCCAGCCGAGAGACATAGTCCCTCCAGCGTGTCCTGGGTCTTCCTCGGGGCCTCCTAGATCAGATCTAGTAATATATTTACTGAGAAAAATGGTGATGTGTTCTATACTTATTTTACCCGCAATAATAATAATAATAACAATAATAATTTTATTTGAAAAGCGCCTTTCAGGACACCCAAGGACACTTACAGCATTAGGCACATCATAGGAGAATGTGTGAAAATACAGATTAGAGAAAAGTTGGCAGGAGTTACAGAGCATTGTTTACAAATGAAGTTAAGATGGATATGCTAATCTAAAGAGATGTTTTCAAAGCAGTCTTGAACACAGGAAGAGAGGTGGGTTTCTTAGGTCAGGTGGTAGAGAGTTCCAGAGGAGAGGTGCAGAACAGGTGAAAGTCCTGCTCCCCATGGAGCGGCGGGCAGTGGGTACTTGGAGGTTTGATATGAAGGTTATCTGTCTTCTGCACAAGTCAAGCAGGCATGAAGACAAGACAACAAGTCCTCAGAAAAACTACGACTTGCTTACAGTTTTTTTTTCTTGTAACTTTGTAGTGTTAACATCAGGGTGGGCCAGGTCAAATCACAAAACACTCACCATCCTCTGCCACTAGGGCTGTCCCGATCCAAAAAATTTTTGGCTCCCGATACAATCCGATCTTTTTTAATGATTAGTTTTTCCGACATCGATCTAAAGATCTATCGAGCTTTATTTCTTTCCAAGTGACAAGGTTGGTAATATTAAAGCGARCCCTGCTGTTCACACCACAAGAAACATCCAGTTTGCAGATTTTGCAAGATGCAGTTTCAGCGTCATTGTTTTCCAWTGAAAAGTAGTTCCCACACTGTGGACATGGTTGTATACTTGTGTGCGTCTTGACTTAATGGCAGTTGTAAAGCATGATGGTGCTGAAAACTGGATCAGCCCAATCACATGACTAAACCTGATTCTACCAGATTTTCAAAACATGGCCATATCTGCCATCAGTACCGATACTGAGTATCTGATCGGGACATCCCTGTCTGCCACTGTTTACAACAATGCTTAGGTCAAATTGAGACTACTGTTTTCCTCCACTTGTTGGAGCCTCAGCTGAGATCTAAAAGTGGGTGAGACCACCCTATGGAAAGATTGTGAACCCACATTGGGCTAACCCAAGACCAGTGAACATTAAAGGATCATTAGTGACTCAGATGTAAATCACGCTGATACACATTCAATGGTGATTGTGGGTAACTGCAATTCTATCTAAAAAGTAGGTCGTTTTCTTGCTGCACCATATCTGCCAAAACCCTGGCTTGGTTTTACAGAGGAGGATGGAAACTGARCAACCGAGCCAACCTCCTTCTGCAATCTGAGTTCACATTGAGCAAAAAGTTAGGACAGCACTGCAAGAAGTCGAGTGACTTTTAGGATTTAGGTTTCCTCTGATCAGAAGCCACAGAAACTCCTAGCTGCTGAATGTTTGTTAATGTGACAACATGTGTGTGAGTTAGCACTGTTGTTCAGGTGGCGCAGATCTGAACCAACCAGAATGAGACTGATTGTGTTTGTGTGGAATATTGTAAGCTGAGACATGTAGCTGAAAATCTGTTTAAAATATTAATATCATGTTGGAGTTAAAACTCCTGTCTTCAGCAAACATATGACTATTTTTCAACCTCTTATTAATTATAAGGTATAGTTTTGAACTGAAACTGACTATTATTGTGAATAAGTTTGTAGATCTATTTATACATTTTATTTACTTTTAGTTTATGGGTTTATAATTCAGTTTCTAATCCTTGTGATATAATACATTAAGAAGYTGCTGTAATCTGATTTTTTTTTTCTTGTGACACTTTTAAACAGCGAGTTCAACAGAAATGCTCATGTAGTAAACGCATGGATAAATTGTTTTGTTTTCCTGCTGACCTCATTATTTTCTCAGTCTAAAAGCCTCTTTTGATTTTTAGCCATCTCCATTTGGTCCTCTGTTTGTCAGTTCCTCGTTTTCGTCTTTGTTGGAAGACTGTGTAGTCTTTGGTGAACAACAGAGGCGATTCTGCCCTCCAGACACAACTCCCCAGGTCGTGCATCCCAGTTACAGAAAACATTTATGTGCTTCATTATGACTGGAGCTGTTTTTTTAATCGTGCTCTGTAGATGTCACGTCAACAATAAAAATCCACTTCTATTTTTATTTTATTTTATTTTTACTTCTGTAACTAATTTCTTTACATTTTTGATGCCTGAACAAAGTCAGTTTCCTCATTTCCTGCCATAAAACACAGAATAGTGAACTGATGGTTTGGTCCTTATAAAACTTAGTTGCAGTCAGAAGTTTACCAGGTTGATGTTTAAATAAACTTAGTTATGCTGTGTTTGCTGTTTTCCTAAAACACCAGACAGAGTAAGCACTCAGATGGATCTGTGTTTTTTCTGCTGATCTCAGCAGTTTCTCAGTTGTTGTTGAAGAAAACAAACCTGCAGGCTGCACCGGTGTTTGCATAGACTGGATCATTTGAATGTGACAACAGTACATCCACTGTGATGAGAGCTTGGTGTCTAAATGAAATACTTGTATGTTCCTGTTAGTTTTTGGGCACAGTGTAAAACGTTTTCTTGTCTGTCTGCAACCTGTCACTGAGACCACAACAAAATTACCAACTGGCACATTAGCAATCAAAATTAACAATGAACACTTTGAGTTTTCGTGTGTTTTAAATTAGTGTCACTGAGAAGTCAAAGGTGATCCCCCCCACCTCCCCTAACTGTTGATGACAGCTGCTCATAGACTAACTGACAGCAGACTGCAGCTCAGACATCACCAACAGAAACTCCATTGACACATGGAGAAAACTGTCACTTCACTTTGTGCAACAAGAAACATGTTAACTTGAAATCATAAAAAATATGACAACTAAGCTAGATATGTTGACAGRTTTATCATAAATGATGGCATCAGATATGTTGACTATCTGTGTACTAACATCAATGTGCATCTCTTGAGTTTTGGAAAAGCAAGAAAGAAGCTCTGCTTTTACCTCCTCGGGAGCTTTGACAGGGATGTAGGGCATTTATCCCCTGGGTATTCAACCCCTGGACCCATACCCCCTGGACATTTACCCSTGGACACATACCTTCCAGACACTTACCACCCCAACAATTAGTACTTTCAACAAAGAGTTCAGTCCTGATATTACATAACTTTGGAATCCCAGACTTCTGAGATAACCCATAATTTAAATAATAATTTAATTCTAAAAAAGATAATTTTAAGCTACATTGTGTACATCTGTTATCTGCCTTTTTTAAAGATTTTATAGCCTCATTGTTTATTCAAAAAATATTCAGTTGTGCACTTCAAGATGATGCTTCTTTTTGGATTGAAAATTATTGACATACTGTTTATCATTGTTTATCTCCTTGTTGTAGCCCTTGAGTCAGTTATTTATCAGTAGTCTTGGTCCTTGAATATTCTATCTGACAAAGCGTTTAATGGCCTTATTATCCTGTTTGTTTTTTCAAAAACATCTTAGTTACATAGTGTTATAAAAAGTCACTAAACATGTGCCCTTTAATAACAGTTCCCTAATTTCACTGTAATTAACCTTGAACATTACATATCTTCTGTGGCTTCTTTTGGTGAGGAAGTGGCTTGAAAAACATCAATACAAAACCATCAAAAATAAATATTTTCACTTCATTTGCAACTACTTGCTAATGCTTAGCAGGCAACTTACCTGTTCCAGGCCAATAATAATAATAATAATAATAATAATGATGATAAGAAGAACTTTATTAACCTCCAAAGAAGAATATAAATACAATTTCAAGTTAAAATATAATTGACTGTTTTATATTAAAATCCTTATTATAAATCAAATGTTTATTTGCCCTCTTATGTCAGGGCTGAAACTCTGTTAAAAGTACTAATTGCTGGTTGGGCGGGGAACAGTTATTGCTGCAAAAGTGGGATTGATGCTGAATATTAATATTGCTATTTAACATTTTGTTTTAATCTTCATGTACTTTTTCCATTATTTTATTACAGAGAAAAGGACAGAACTTGTGGTAAGAGGATAAAGATCTAACTTTAACAATGTCTGTTGATTTAGAACACCTCCCTGGCTGACGAAGGCCCCATGCCCAACTCTCCTGGCTCTATGGTCAACCAGTACAGACTGGAGGACGATGAAGAGGAACAGCAGGATGCCAACACTAAAGACATCTTTGTCACAGTTGATAACCCAGAGAGCCAAATCACTGCCCTTGAGACCTTCATCATGTACAGAGTTGTGACTAAGGTGGGCAAGAAAACCTTTCTATTTATAAATAATTCGGGCAGATGCCTGTTTGAAAATGAATATTAGTTTTTAGGTTAACGTGAAATTCACAAAACWCTATAAGATTCCTACACAGCCTTGAAAAGCATGAAATAAGTATTATTTGATTTTAGTAATTTTTAGGTTTGGAAAAGAGCATGAATGCAGAATAAAAACTAATCATTTGGATTTCCTTTCCACAGACCACACGAAGTGAGTTTGACTCTAGTGAATATGAAGTACGTCGCCGCTACCAGGACTTCCTGTGGCTCAGAAGCAAATTGGAAGAAAACAACCCAACAATAATTGTCCATGTATGTATTAACAGCTGCACTTTTTAAATATTTAATTCAGTTGGTTTAAAATTGATCTATTTACCATTTGCAACACAATTCTTGTTTTTAAAAWTTAAGTTGTATGTAGTACAACCACTCCAGCCTAGAAAAAGGCTGTTTCAAATAAACTGATAAAAGACCCAAATTAGTATCATATTTTATGAGTGGATTCAAAACTTCTGACCACAACTGTAAGTGATAATGTTGAACTGACTGATGGTTGATCAATCACAGTAGTCCTCTGGTGATACGAATCACCATATCACCTTGAAACTTTAACTCTCAGAGGGCTTGTTTACATTTGGTTTTCCGTTTTGAATTCATTTTAGGTAATCCTGAAATAATTTGTGATCAAATGTACAGATGTGTACACACACAGCCCAACAGGAAATCCACAGGTCTGCTGGTGTTTTTGTAACAATAAATCATGTATGAAAATAAATTACAAACAAAATACATACTGTGTAGCATAAAAATGACTTCATTATGGGTAACATCTTTATTTCATATTTGGAGTTAATGTGTCAGTATGTGACTAGAGACACAATCATGAGCAATTTATTAAACAAGCACTTGTTTTTATTCATACACAGGGTTTTCTTTAGCCTGGCCCTTGCCTTCCTACGCAGTTCTGCTCAATTCTAGTTTCCCTTCACTGCTCCGTCTGGGACTTCTCCCATAGATAAGGATTTCTTCAGCAGAATTTCTTTCGAGCCAATCAGCAAACAGATGGCGGAGTTTTGAACAACAACGTCAATTTTCTGCACAGTGTCTGCTAGTTAGTTTAGCAAAGGTAGTGGAGGAAGTGAATGAAGCCAGTCTGTGTTGATAAGGCTTCCAAATTAAATTAAATTTGTCTGACAAACCCTGCAGCATCATTTACAGACATCTCGTTCGGCTCGGTACTTCTCTCCTCTCAGTAGGGTTGTTTACAGCGCACGCAAATTCCAGGTAGCCTGTTAGCTTAGCCTCCTTCACAGTGGAGCTGGTACACATACGTCGCAGCCAACCGATCCAATAATTTTAAACTTCAACTGAGGCCAYGCCTCCAGCAAAAATCACTTCTCTATAGCCGAGAGTCCAGACCCTTGTTCGAAGCAAAGTGAAGGACAAGGTTTTTTACCAGGCTCGGTTTTCTTACTTACAATTCAAATAAAATATTTTGTCACCCATAAAAGTGTCATTTGTGAAAAGTGGTCAAAAAAGTAAGGCTAAAACGGGAGTTTAAGCTGAATGGAATGTTTGATACGTGTGATAAAATTCAGTTCATTATAT